ATTAATTTTATATTGTATGTCTGAATCTTCCAACTGACATTTAGGACTGCAATCGGAAGATTCAAACAGACAATACAAAATGAGGATTGCCTCAATATTACCTTAAGTCACGAGCAATATAAGCAAACATGGATCATGGCTAGCAGTGGAAACCCATAAACAAATTACTTTAAGGTTAATTTTTTTCATTGATGAGATTATTTTTATTTCAAATGCATTAAACCATCCAACTCAAAACACAATATAACAAGTAAAATTCAACAACATCAAAGGAATAGTTCCCTAAAGTTTCCTTAAGAGGCAAATATATTCATTTACATACTAACACCTGCTACCTTATTTGAGGCATTGGCCACCGATCGGGCATCGCCATGCAATTTTATATCATGGTCTCTTTTTTATAGATATTACTGTGTACTATTCATGGTTGTGATGTCTACCTGAGATTTACAGAGCCCTATGTTCTTTGGTTCGTCCCTTTTCATTTCACCACGAGGATTCCAGGTTAGGGTTTGATTTGTGATTCAGTCTAATGGCTCATGAATAGCGTATTTTATAAATCTCCAGAGTCTCTTCGTATTTTGCTGCTGAGCTATCATCTAGCCCGTTGTCTATTATAGTAGGTTATTTCTGATAGTGTTTGTTCGGAGAATCTGAAGTATCATATGTAAACATTCATTTATAACTCTATATGAAGCCGTTCTGGAGTTACTGTCATTTTCAAGCACGGATAAAGAAGGAGGGTTGGACATGGGGTTAGCAATCCTATTTCTTAGAAGAAAAACTTTCTAAAATAAACTCTTGCCAGGAATATCTTTTTTGGTTAATTACAACTGCAAATATGAATAAATGCAGACCTATACTATTGAATACTGTTCATGTTGAAATAGGAATGAATTAACAACTCAAACTTCCATCCCAATCATTAAATCGTTATAGTCCAACTTTTTTCGAGACTCATGTTAGAAAATCTGGATTATTGTTTTCGATTTTCTTCTTTAAAGAGTCATGAACTGGGACTTATAAAAACTCAATCACTTTCATAAAATTAATAAAATGGATGAAATAATTGAAGAACTATTCATGAGAGTATAAAACGATTAGTTAAACGATTGAGCATATTACTAATATTTGATCAAAGATGTCTTCGAAGCATTACTCGTATATTCTGGGACCACTGAGTAAGTAATGCAGTTGTTACGAAACGGGTACTAGGTAAGGATGGCAAATCAATTGAAGTAATGAAACTTCACCAGTTGAGATGACGGTTTCGACGAACAATGTTTTATGGTGTAGGAGTAGATTGGAAGAAAGCTAGGGACGGTCAGAACAAAACATGGCACAAATCCATCAAGTCACCAACAAGTGGGCTGAGCCATTTTGGCGAGTGTAGACTACTTGGTTGGGATCCGCGAGACGATATCAACCGATGTTTAGAGACGTTGAACGACATGGCTCAAAATCATTTGCAATGGTGCAGGTGCATCCACTCTTTGTGTTCTCCCGAATTCTAATCTTCTGAATTCTCCATGTCCGTTTTTTTCGCCTTTTCAAATTTATTTCACTGGATTATACTCCTTGAATAACATCTTCAAATCCTAGTGTTTCAGACTACTGCCTACCCTTTTACTACCTTTACAACTATGAGATTTGGATCGATAATTGTATCTCTGTGCTAATGTCGTATGGCCAACTTGATGTGATATACCTACGTACGAAGTTTTATGTTGTTGCTCAGTGACTGACTGCCCGATAAATACACGAACTGTTGGTTATGAACGTGATTAAACTGATGATTTATCTTATTCTAATTAAATATTTATCATTTTGAATCAATTTGACCTCGGTCTCTCATTGTTATTCAGTTATGAAATGCTGGTCGATGTCTTTTATTTTGTAGCAATTCATCTAAAAATTCAATATTGACTTCGGAACAAGTTTTACTAAGCTAAACCACTTGATCTGTTCATCAAATTTAACTCATGAGCATTTTTATCTCGTTCTTAAAATACAAAGTGATAGTACATGGGGTGCTAGAATGACATAGACATGATAAGCCATTACCAGTGGAGATCCACTGTGTCAGGTGTAAGAAAGTTATCTATTGAAGAAAATGGAAGATAACTTAATATCACCGATGAATTGAAGTTAGGATTGTACACCATGGAATACTGGTTGAAAGCTCGCTTGCGAAGAAGAACGTTCAGAATCTGATTCCTGGTAAGGAGCCCTGTACTAGGATGAAATAGCTATCAAGTGCTTTCAGGTTTTCACTGATGATCCAGCTTAAATCAATTAGTATTCTTGATAAATTTCAAAAACCTCCATGAACCCATAATGATAGCACATACATAATTCAAGATAACGAATGAATTATCAGAATGGGGGTTTGTGGAGATTGTAGTATTTTGACAGTTAAATTCATGAGTCGATTAAAGCTAGACCACCGTTGAAAACTTGGAAACATTGGATGATCGTTTTTTTTAGTATTGGACTCCTGAGGAGTGTGCATCCACGATCTCGCACCGAAGACCTTCAGTTTTTCCTACGAACGCCTAACTTCTATATCATTGAGCCGGCATCCTGGGTTCGAGTCTCTTTGGTCCGGGATCGTAGATGCACCCTCCTCAGGAGTCCAATACTAAAACAAAACGGCCATCCAATGCTTTCACGTTTTCAACGGTGGTCTAGCTTTAATCGACTCATGAATTCAACTATAAAATCATCTTTATTAGTGGGACTATTATTATCTTCGTACGAATGGTTATTAACACTGAATTGTAGCTAGTAATGGAATGTATGAGCATGTATGTTTAACTGTAATTGATATTCACCAGCAGAATATATCAGCATTCCTTATTTGGTGTTCACAATGAAATTCAGACTCAACATCTACAATATTTTGAATGTCAATTCGTTTATCACTAGGCTAATGAGTTAAAAAATCAATAACTTGTGTAAAGTCCCGTATTTTACAGTTGTCATGATTTTCATTACTAGACATAAGGGAACATTGCTAAGAATTAATTACAAAAATAAAGATTTCATAACAATTAGCTCAGGATCCATGTTTCCCAATAGAGACTATTTGTACTCTGTAAAATCAATAGTGGGAAGATATAACTCCGTACAAATAACCTATTATCTCGAGAAAGTTAACATGTTTACTACAGTAATCATAAAATTTAAATAAGTCTAAGAGAATTTATGAGTGATATCATCCTATTTTACGAGGATGATAATGAAGAAGGTATGAACACAATGCTCTCCAAAGTAAATACATCACTTCAAGAAAATGATGACTTAGAGTCAAATATTTCTAGTATATTCTAACTTCATTAGAAGTATTTAATCGATTGATTTCATTGGACATCATAAAATCCTCCAAAATGATCAACATTACATAGTTATCCAATCGATAATTCCAGAAAATGTCTTATTTTAATTTGTGATTATTCTACATCAGAAGTTATGTACTGATTAAAGATTATTTTTAATAGTTGAATTCATGTGTCGATGTAAGCTAGACTACCATGGAAAACCTGGAAGCATTGGATCCCGGCTAATTGGTTTAGAGGTTAAGCTTTCGAGCACGACACTGAAGGTTCTAAGTTCGAGTCTAGATTGAGAGATTGTGGAGGAGGAGTCCCATACTAAGAGGAATTGGTCGTCCAGTGATTCCAGGTTTCTCATAGTGGTCTAGCTTAGATCAACTCATCAATTCAACTACTAAAATTACTACAATCTCCACAGAAAACCCTTTTCTGATCATAAATTTTTTTTAACCTAAATGAAAAGGAGATTTAAAAGTTTCCTGATTTTTGCAACAGAACTAACGATACTATTCTACTTACAAATAAATTCAACATTTTCTCATCTTCACATTACTAATATAACTAAATAATGATAATTTTGATCACATCGGTTGACTAACTTGTAGAGATGGGTTTCCTGGAAAGTAATCAATTCCAGAATGAGACAAATCTTATCAGTGTCACTTTATGATTCTTAGTTAACATTAAGAAAAAAAAACAAAGTGAACCATATGAACTGACTCGTTGATCTAAAGTATCATGCTCACTGAGAGATCTACTTATATTAATGATTAAACATTGGAAAAAAAACAACTCATCTAACTAAAGTCTAGATAGAATATCGGGATGATTGAAATTTTCTACTTAGCTCTTCCATCATTAATATTGATCTGTAAGAAACTTCTAGGTAAGCTAGAAACAACTCAATCATTCAGTCAATGTAGAAGTATGTACATGGACGTGCACGTGTGCGTGTGTATGTGTGTGTGTGTTTGTGAGTCTAAAATTACTCTTTCTTTCTTTCTATATTACTTTCATTCATTTTAGATGTAGTCATCACCAACATCATCATCATCATCACAAACATTTTTCCCTCAAATCTAAATCTACTGACGAAACCAAAACATTAACAAAACTCTAAACTTAAATTAGGATGGGGAACAATTACATCTGAATAATATCTTCCTTAATAAGCAACATTACATACAATATATTGGTTATTTTCATTTGAAAGGTAGGATAGTAACTTTTATTATTAATTCAATTGAATTCTTCACTTTGCTTCCCTTTCTATTTCTCTCCCATATTTTGTTGTTGTTGTTATTATTATTGTTATTATTGCTTTGTCTATATTATTTCTTATTTTTCTGTCTTTCAATTGATAGAAAATTATAATAACCAATCAGAATTAAATAACGCTCTTCAATAGTTAATTCTGATTTTTAAACAATCTGATTGGTTAAATTATTTCGTTGACTTAAAAACACAGATTTCTGGCAGATGGATAGTTTGCAGGTTTTATGGGGTGGAGGGGGATTAAAAAGAAAACCCCACATATTACCAAAATAATAAACCTTACTTACTTCTAGTATTCATTTATATTTTGTATAAGCTATCAATATTGAGGAAATTTATTTCATTTCTTTTTATTCCCGTGAAATTTTCATTGTATTTTATATCACGATGATGAATACAACTAGAACTGATGAAGGTAAGTTTGATTTTTTTTCAAATACGGTTTCTTTTCTTTGATAAAAAATGTGATAATACGATTGATGACGATCATGTATAAGTGTAGAATCAGTTTGTAGCATGGTATATATCAGTTCTATCAAGGTCATAGATATAATTTCATGATAGATGTAACCTAGAAACCAAAATCCCCCCGGTTAAAGATTATATAACAGTTATGTTCAAAAAGTTACACTATAACGTCCGGTTACTTAGACTAGTGACTTACTCTGTGACTAAGTTATAGATATAATTTCATGACAGATGCGACCTTGAAAATAAATCCCCCTGATTAGTTATTACATAACACTTACGTCCAATAAATTACAATATGATGTCCAGTTACTTAGACTAATGACTTACTCTGTGACTTAGTAAAAATTTAATTAATATTAGAGTCTAGTAAAGATTATATTAATTGATGCCCAGTATTTAAAGAAAAAAAACGTTATCTTCTTTTACTAAATAGTAACTGACGTTTCATTATCATCCAAAGGAACTAGTTGATGTTCATAGCAAATGTATAGTATAATCTATCTTATAAACTGTAGGATTTCCTCTTTCATTGATGGAAATGTTTATAAGAATTTTTCGTTGAAGTTATCGGATTTATCACACCTTATGGTTATTGTCAAATATTATTTTTAGGAAGTATAGGGTTGTAGAGATTGTTACGTTTTTGATTGAGATCATAAATCGAATGATGTTGGACCACTATTGAAAACCTAGAAGCATTGGAAGGTCGTTTCGTCCTAGTATAGAATCTCCTGAGGAGTGCTCATCCATAATCCTGACAGCGAGATTCAAATCTATGACCTATCAGTCTAAGAGTGATTATACTTTTGAATTCGCAATGTATATCATAGACAATTATTGGAAATAAGACAGTATTGTATAGCTGTTTTATTCTAGTCTTGGGAAATTATTTTTAAGAATTCATTCTTTCCAAGCATGGAACTGAGAACTTACAGTTGTTATCACAATCACTTGATTTTTAGAGTGGATATAAGTACTAACTTCAGTCAGTCTGTTATATGACACAATATCAACTAACGTTAATTGTATCTTGGTTTTTAATAATTTCCCATTTGATATTAATTCTTGACTAAGACTAGATTTAATTTAAACCAATCCCTGCAAATATCAGCAATGAGGAAATACAAAGCTTTAAAAACAACTTTGTACTACCTGAATAAGTCATTGGTTATAATGTAGCTTAGTGGATAATGAGTTGAAGATTGAGAAGATAGACATAAACTTCGAATATCATTGTAAACATCAATAAGACTACAGTTCAGGTGCATCCAGCTGACGAACCTCAAATAGCATTAGATATGCGTCTTGAATTCGACTACTAGGTGCAGTCTGTGTATTTTGAAAGCCTGTAACAAAATTGACATGTCAAGGTAATCCATTTAATATACCCGTATGTTAGCGGAAACTGATTAATTCCAACCCCTAATACCAAAGAAGGGAAAATACAGACTATTATAAGCAAAATACATACCAATTACACAAATGAGTAAGTATATCAACTTAATAACCTAGAGGATAACGTGTTGATATTTAAAGTACATAATGATGGGCTAGTTTTTCAGTGTAAACATCAATATTGGGACACAGGTATTTCCAGTTGATGAGTCCTAAAAGTGGCCTTAAAATGACTTTTGGATTCTATTGTTAAACACATTCCAAATAAACTAAAAAATAATCTAATTTAGGAATTTTTGACTGTTTACAATCGGTTTCTCCATCTTGACATAACACAATTATTAATCTGGAGACTCATCTAATCGAATGCTGATCAGTGACTATTCGGATCTTATATAGCGTTATAAATAATTTCATATAGTACTCAAAATCTTTTTGTGAATACGCGTTGTCTAAATTTTATGGATATGACATCAGGAGAAAGTGATATGAATGATATGAACCCAAGATATTCGGTTTCGCACGCGAAAGCTTTACCTGTAGACGACTCAGCCAACATCCAATGGCGTTAATATCGAACTTCAACCAATCCACGAAATTGCGTGACCATCTTTCATTGTCCGAAGTAGACACCTGTCTCTACCTGACATGGTTTAACTCCACTGGTCACAACTTCTCACTAGGATTCTGAGGATTCCCTCACGAAGCTAATCACTAATGAGCAAATGATAATAATTAGTATGAGGTTCTGGAGATTGTTAAGTTTATGATTAATATCATGAATCGATTAATATTAGACCATCATTGAAAACCTGGAAGAACTGGATGGCCATTTCATCCTAGTATGAGACTACTCAGTAATGCATATCCATGATCCCGCTCACGGGATTCGAACTCATCATTACTAATGAATCGCATTTACAATCAAACTCAGTCTTTTGTTTTATTCAACTAAAAGAACATTAACTATACTTTTCTTAAGCATAGTATATAAAGAGTCTAATTGAAATTTCACCCAGGAATTTAATTGGTAGAATTGGTAGAAAATCCTACATCTGATTCCTAACCCTAACCATCAACCGTAAATCATAATGCTTATTTCTAACACTGGTTTATAATCCTCATTTAGCCGTAATATGTAGGTGGACATTCTCAAGGTCTCTTTAACGTCAATCAAAAGTCATTCATAAATTATAGTTTCACAACTGTTACATTGATCTGAATGACAATGTAATACAACAATCTTAATTTTAGAAATAATACAAGTTATATGGTAATTAAAGCAGTTTGTGTTCAGTCTACTTCATATAATAGTATCCGCTTTCATGTAATCCATTGATATTTGATTACCTTTACTTTAGAACTCTGAATTGTTTACTTTCATACTTCATCCCTTCAATATATTTCTGTCTATTTTGCAATACTAATTTTAATTCCCAAATAGTGCCACACATTTTCATCACGAAACGATATCATCTAGGAAATGGTAAATAGTCACTAGCGATCTTATTGACTATCGGTAGTGTTGTACAGCAAATTGACTAAAAATAGAACTTTAGACAATTGAATTTTAAACGTAATAGTCTAAAGGTAATAAAAAATGTGAATACTGTAACACCTAAATATCTTTGACTTGGCTCCAAATGAGGTCATGATTGGGGATCATTGAAGAATTTTATACTAGGAAAGAAAATCTGTTGATTGTTCTTTGATTTTCAATAACTTTCCAACTACTGTCAATCTGTCTTTTATCTTTTTACATGAAATCTAGTCTTCATAATCTAATGAAATGAACGAAATTAACTTTGACTAAGTATGTCTGTGAAATTGGTTGTAGTACAATTCTGAACTTTCCTATATTTGTATCAGAAGGGTTTTATGTGGATGTTTTAGTAATTTCAATGGTTGAAATCATGAGTCAATTGAAGGTAAACCACCATGGAAAACTAAGAAACACTGGATGACCGTTTCGTCCTATTGTGGAACTCCTCAGCAGTGCGCATGCGTGACCCGGCCTCGGGTAGAGTTCAACCGGGTTTGTTGTGAGATAATAACTCACTGAAGACAATGGTGAATGTGTTACGCAATTTCGTGGATTAATTGAAGTTAGACATTAATACCACTGGATGCCGTCTCAGTGGTTTAGAGGTTGAGCGTATGCTCGCGAGACCGATAGGTCCTGGGTTCAAGTCTCGTTGGTGTGGGATCATGAATATGCACTGTTGAGGTTTCCTATATTTGTTAGAGATAATTCGTTTCTAAATAAACCATGAAAAATTGTAAGCCGTAGACTTTCAGTAATTCTAAGTGTCATTTTAATTTGTTATTCAGAGTTATATGTCTAATTAAGTAGATAATCAACATCAGGTAGAAGTTTGTGCTGATGATGTTGTTCAGAAGAACAAAGAAAACTTCATGACTAAACCATCCAGCCCAGAGAACAAAATCCCATCAAAACCATCCAGCTGGGTTGTAAATCTTCTTCATCATCTCAGATAATCAACTGTTTCTGATGATAACCAACAATGGAGTTAAAAACATTAGGTTCTTTCTTAATTTTTGCAATCATTCACTTCGTAATTCTTTCATTATATAACCAAGATATCATTAAAACACACTACCTAAATAAGAGTATGAGGGGTATTGTCAGTAATCAAGCAATAAATGTATTATATTGAATTACCAGTTAATTTCACTAGCTATTAGGAAGTAATGTTTCCATTTATCTTGAAGTTAATGTACAGATAATCACAGTTTAGTGAATATTGAAAAGAATTGGGCTAATATTTCAACTTAATCTGAAGTGTATAATCAAGTTGAACATTTAAATTCTTATTGTTAAAATCATGGACTGGTTCTAGTTAAATAACCAATAGGAACGAGAAATTATTGGATAGCTGTTTCATCCTTATCGATAAGTATCCATTGCCCCATTTGAGATAGAATTAAACTCATAGTGACCGTTTAACTTTCAGATCACTGAATCACCATTCAATCTTTTACATTTCTAAATAGACTAACTCATGATACTAGCTAGTTTACACTAAAAACTAATGAATTTCACTGGTCACGGCTTCTCACCAGAACTCAAAGGATTCCTTTATAAAAATTCAATTCATCTTCACAAAGATAAATGGATAACGCGATGGCGTTTAAAGCGAATGGTACTGGGTTTGAGTCCATCCTAGAGTGAACATCAATTCTGAGATGCAGGTACATCCAGCTGACGAGTCCCAACTAGGACGAAAAGCGCGTCAAACTGGATTCTACTACTAACCAATATCCATCTTTGCTTTAAAAGCTTGTAATTTTGACAAACTCCTAACATTAATAATATTGATAATATTTGGTAACAGTTCTCCGTCTATAAAATATTTATTAAGGCTAAAAATGTGAAGCTCAGGAATTTTTAACTGGATAAGCTAAAAAAGTCTCTACATGGATAATATTGTTCAACAAAACTAAGTGAATTTAAACTTCACACCATTGCAAAAGCAGGTGGTTATCAAGACTCCGTAGCTAAGTGGATATCATTATGGCGTTTGAAACGAACGGCACTAGGTTCAAGTCTCAGAGTGAACATCAACTCTGAGATACAGGTATATTCGGTTCATGAATTCCAACTAGGATGAAACGCGTGTCCTGGATTCCACTGCTAACCATCCCTGATTACTAATAGTGATATAAATAGTATTCAGTATAATGATACATGACTCTTTAAAGATCTATAAATAATGGTTATAGTTCACTATTACATCATAATGTAATTCATCAGTATCATGAAACATCCATAATGAACGTAAAGATTAAAGGAGATGGAGTAAATATTGATTAAAGAAATTTAAGACGTATACTATAGAAGATCTTCAACTGTTCTATAAATAATAATCAAATTGATTTGTGGATATATCAAATAATGAAGTAAATAATTTTAAAAAGTCTTTATTTAAACTTATTTATGTCCTATTCCCTAATCTATGCGTGTTTAGTTAGTTGGTGTTGATAACGGTATACATATATCCACAACAGTAGTCTTTATTCGGCGAAACTATAATTTATGAACGAACCAATCAGATTTAAGATAATATATCTCGGAGGCGAGATTTTAATTTATGAACGAACCAATCAGATTTACGGTAGCAGGTCTTGAATTTTAGCGCGAAATTCACTCATCCATTTGGTTAGATCGAGTTTTGGCATTTCAGTACGTGATGAAACCTATAAATCTAATTCTTAAGTTTAACTATCAACTGTAATTCATAATTCTAATCCCCCACATTTATTTCTATTCCTTAATTGGTCTTAGTTAATAGGCGTTCCCCAAACGTCGTCCATGAATAATAGTCTTACCGTTTTTTTTTTCATATGCTAATTGTCTAGTTTTCGTCTATTCTAAACATTTGATTTGTAAATAAAATTATAGGTGACTAAACTTATATCGACAGATGTAAGTAGCATACACCAGAACTATACCAGTGAATACTACTTATATCGCTTAAAATAATAGTAACAGTTATTGTAATATGAATTCCATCGTCACTAAAAAAAAATGCTTCCTTACACATTAGTCTAAGCAATGAATAACTGTTTCATCCAACATGAAACTTCATCAGAAGCACACTTCCATGATATCCAAGTTTTATATCTTAGTGCAACTTCATTTACTTATTGCATAAGAATGTGTCTCCATGCCTTTTTTTAAAAAACTTCAATCATTTCATGCATGATACAGACCAATTTTCATTCGATTATATCGAAACTTGATTGACTCTTTAAATAAATAAATAATTAATTATTTTAATATCAGTAGGGTGTCGCTCAATTTCGTGAATTGGTTGAATCTAGACATTAACACCATTGGATACCGGCCGGCTCAATGATCTAGGGGTTAATCATTCACACATGAGACTAGTAGACCCTGGGTTCGAATCCCATAGATGAGACCTCAGATGTACACTGCCACTGAGGAATCCTACAATAGAACGAAACGGCCATCCAATACTTCCAAGTTTTCCATGATGATCTAGTTTCAATTGACTTATGATTTCAACCATTAAAATTAAAATCATCGTTTGTTGATGTGGTTTTTCTAAACAAAAAAAATTTTTTTTTTTGACTCATTTTATTTTATTTTTTAGTTCATCAATATCATCAAAATATAATAAAAAATAATTGCCTGGATGATATAAATAATATTGATTATTCAAGCAAAATCAATTCACCAAACACATCATTATCCTTAACATATACTTCAACAATGAAATCTCCTTTATTAAATCATGAAGATTCTACATATTCTACATTAAATCCTTCAATAACTTCAAGAATACAAACTAAATCATCATCATCAACAAGTTTAACATGTACATCATGTCCTATATCTTTATCCTCCTCCTCCTCCTCATCATCATCATCATCATCGTCGTCGTCGTCATCATCATCATCATCATCATCATCATGTTGTTATTATTCAATATCACCATCTATTTCATCTAATAGTAATAATACTGATAATAATCATCCTATACATAATACCATAGATGATTACATTCAGCCTTATCAACAAAATCATCAATTAATTACATCATCATTTAATCATTACAATATTCATGATAAACATTTAACAAATTCATTTCAATCTAATCAATATGATACTCAACAATATTATAAAATATGGCAACAATCTAATGGAACAATAAATGATGATACATTCAATAATAATAGTAATAATAATGATCAATTGAATAGGTTACAAGCATGGTTAAAATGCCCTTTTGATGAATATGATAATATAAGATGGAATTCACAATTGTTATGTAATACAATGAAAACATCAAAAGGGTAAGTTATTGATTTAATTTATAATGATCTTATTATTTATGAAAATTTTTAATGAGATGCAGTAGTTTTTGATTAAGATCTATTGTAGGACTTCTTAGTGGCAGTGTGTATCCATGATTTCATCTATGGGATTTGAACCCAGGGCCTATCAGTCTCGCGTGTGAATGATTAATCTCTAGATTATTGAGCCGGCTGGTATTCAATGGTGTTAATGTCTAAATTTAACCAATGAATGAAATTGAGGGACTATCTTTTATTGTACTGAAGTAGATACCTGTCTCTAGCTGACATGAATTAACTCCACTGGTCACGGCTTCTTACTAGAATTCCCTCAAGAAGCTAGTCACTAACGAGTATATGATAATTATCAGATAGAGTAGTGTTAAATATTCTTAGTTCATATGTAGATTGTATTCGTCACAGATTGATATTAGTTGGCTTTGTGTGAAAACTTTTGGATACTCATTGCTGTGGGATGATTATACTACAAGTAGATAAATATATCCAATAATTCATAGTTTTCAATGGTATCCAACTGTAATTAATCACATCAACTTTCTCCAAACTCATTCAATTAAACAATTCGTAATACATTCGAAATGGAATGTATTCAATTCATTCAGACATTTTAACTAGAACTGAAGTTAGTGTGCATGTTTATATTTCGTAAAATCTTAATGTGATAGATCCCTTGGATGGATCTTCCGTACCCACCAAACCGGTCAAACCATCGGACATTCTCCCTTCGTCCTCTCAATTTCGTACACAACACAGCCACCACGAGAAGGCAGTGAGTAGAATTTCCCTGGCTGTGGTTATATACGCGTGACCATTTGGAGAAGGAGAGCTGATTCTTCCCCACCTTTGACCGTACCAAGAACATTTTGAGGAAATGTTGAAATATCTAGTAATTATTAGTAATAAAAAAAAGTAATTATTGAACTGTTACCTGTTTGGGTACCGGTTAATCGGTTTAAATATTAAATTATCCCTTTTCTTAAGAATAGTTCCTCAGAATTTAATGTATTGAAGTGATTAACTTCATAGACCGATTATCTTCTGTCATATAAATGATGAGTGTAATAATTACTGGAGTAAGGTGAGAAACAACCTTTATATCACTTCAATTTAAATTCTGTATCATATCAAGCATTTACAAAAATAATCGATTTGCGGGGAAGTGATGAATTACTACTTTGATACTACTACTACTACTACTACTACTTATATTTATGTAATTATGAGTAGTATTTTCAACTGTGGATTTAAAATTGAGTGCACGAACCTGTAAACAGTCATTGAGGTGAATTCAAGGTCAATTTAGTTTTGTGAAAATTGTTCATTGTTAAGATGTTTCCCGTCATGGATTAATTCTAACCGAAGTTAGACTAAAAATTAAAAAGTAACTGTTTCTTCCTAGAATAACACTTTTTAGCGGTACATGTTCACAATTCCGGCGGGAGAATTATATCATCGGAAATTGAAATTATTGATCACTTTTCGTACATCGTTTTATTTGTTAAAAAAGAAATCAACGTCTGTAATAAATGTTAAGTGATTGATTGCATTTGGATTGCAGCTAATGTTGGAATCCAGGATTTACGTTATGTCATATTAGCGACTGATCAGCTGCGTGTTTCTGGATTCAAATATTGTGAGTGTTCATACTGAAATTTGTTAGGACGACCCCGAACAGCATGACAAAATCTCCAGAGGTTCTAAAGAAGTCGAAAAGATTACGTCCAGTTAGATTCTGATAAAACCTCGTAGAATATCACCGTGGCATGGTATGATTGGACAATTGTATAACTTTCCCACTTACACATTGGCTGGATTATAATGATACAATAGCCAATACTAAAAACTATAAATACCCCCGTTTTCCTGTACGTTTATGACTCTTACCCAATAGTCGCTTCCTCTACTTCTTCTGTCTGTTGGTTCATGACTAGGGGGGTTCTACATGTTCGAGTGCCGATAGTTGTATACCGTATTCTGCCGTCATCAAGTAGAGGACGGAACCCTGATGACAAGATGCACCAATTACAATGCTAATAACTTTTACAAAAATAGAACCTTTGCTTGAACGTCAGGAAAAGCAATATGAACAGTTCCAAGTTAGTATCCTGAAAATCCTAACGCAACAAATGAACCCTTATCACAAAGGATTAACTGACGAACCATGTAGCCCGCATTCCGATTTCATTAATTATTCTATACATAAATTTCATTTCGATGGGTTGGCTGGTACCACATCCAAATCTTGGTTCAAGAAATATGGAAATTTGTTCAAGGTCTACCTCGTTGAATTATTTGGCGCCGCCAAGGTCAGAATGCTCTCAAGAAAACTTGGCACGGTTGAATACGAACGTTACAGTAATTTCATTCTTTGATTGGGATAGCCGATGAACCCTTATTTTTAACCAAGTTCTACTTTAGTGGAATTCGAATCATTCTAACTTCAGACAGTTTGCAATATTGTTTAGCAAATCTTAATTGTCATTGGTGATACTTTTATCATTAGAATATGATGTAAAGCCACATCATTCACTAATATGCACTACTTTAAACTAAAATTGAAATAATTGTAGAAGGTTTTGTCGCTACTGAGAGGGATCTTCATGTGATATTGATCTATAAAATTAACTTTTGAATATAGCGACTGGCGTTGACGCCACTTGATCTATCAGTCAGATATTTTGATTATTCCATGTTTAAAACCAGAAATAAATGAACAGTATTCCTCCAGTTTGTGATGTGAACTATAAAGTTTAACAATCGCCACAAGCTCTCTGTATTTCAACTATCATGTGGTTATTAGTGTCTAGTTTTGATAAGAAATTTCAAGAGTTCTAATGAGGATCTGTAACAAGAAGAGTTCAACCATGTCGGATGTGAAGTAGTTACCAATCACTTATACCATGAAGTTTCTAGGTTTAATGCTTGATGGGGTCTTGGGTGATTACGAAACTGCTTTTCAGTTCTACCTGGACTCCAACAAATGTATAACTAAGGTCAGTCCATTCATTAAACGAAATTTTGTTCAAAGGTAAGTGTGAATATCAAAGTCTGCGATTTGATTAGAATTGTGATTTTTGTCATTAGGATCCCAAACTAAGTTCTTGTCTAAGAACACAAACCATTGATAGTATACCTTTCTTAATTATAGGTCATTTTTTACAAATTCTGAATCGATATTAACAATCCCACCAATCACATCAACAGTAGGAACAAAAAATGGAATAATATACAATCCAATAGAATCATCATATTCATCATCAATATCTCCCAACAGTATTGAATGTACCAATATGAAACCAGTTAATGATAATAATAATAATGACATAGAACATTTTAATGATTGTGAATTAAAACAATATCAGAATAATCATCGACAAAATACAATAATTAATCAACCACAAACTTCAAATCATAATTATAAATTTACTAAATCATCATTTGACTACTTAAATACTAAAATAAGTAAGCAAATATTTAATACAGAAGAATCAAATAATAAATTAACAAATAAAACAGAATCATATCAACGTACAATTAAATATAATGGACATATTAAAAAACCATTAAATGCATTTATGTTATTTATGAAAGAAATGCGTTCACAAGTAATTGCTGAATGTACATTAAAAGAATCTGCTGCAATTAATCAAATATTAGGTAGAAAATGGCATGCATTATCTAGTGAAGCACAAGCAAAATATTATAAATTAGCTAAACAAGAAAAAGAATTACATCAACGTCTTTATCCTGGTTGGTCAGCTAGAGATAATTATGCTACACAAGTAAAACGACGTAGTCGTGCTACTAAAATTAATCGTACTATAATGGCAACAACAACAACAACAACAACAACAGCAAAGACGACGGCGACGACCACAACGACGACAGTCATGACAATACCGACGATAGTAACAGATCCTAATATGCTCGGTAATCATTATCATTCAAATAAAATACATTCTTCATTTGCTAATTCTGAATTATGGTGTTCAATTAATCATAATCACAATAACTTTCATACAAATAACAATGATATTTATAATAATAATTGTAATTACATGCACCAATCATTAAATACAAATCTTGAACATGAATATAATATATCAAATAGATTATGTCATTCAACTGTTCCTTTGAATAAAATCAATACTACTACTACTACTACTCTTACTCCTACTTCTACTACCAAGGCAACAACGGATTATGAACGATTGTATAGTTTTAATCAATCCACTATATTTCCATATTCACAGTACAGTAATTTAAGTTATCGTAATCTATTAACATCGAATCATTCAACAGAATTGAATTCTATTCAATCTTCTAGTATAAATCAATATACTCAATTACATTCTATGAATAAGTCAACGAAAGTTGATTATGCAATAAATTCATTAATGGATCTAAATTATGGTAAATTTTCTTTTATATATATACTGTTATATATTTAATTTGGCTTATGTATACTGATTCTTGTGTACATTGATATATAGATATGATTAGTGATTGAGTTCTATAGTTTAGTTTGTTATATATAAAATAGGTTACTGTTGAGATAACTTGTATGTAAAGACCATATGTTTTTCTACTCTGTGAGAATTTTTATCAGCCCTTGTGGTTTGGTGTGTGACGAAATCTCAGTAGGGATATAGAAGGCTAGACTAGCTTTTGCCAACTTGTGTCATTTATGACATAGGTGAGATATCTATCTACCAAACAAAGGACGAATTTACTGTGAAGTAGTTCGTTCCGTTCTAATTTATGTCAGTGAAACATGGCTGCTAAGAGTAGAGGATATTCGTAGGTTACTAGTATTCGATCATAGATTTCTTCGAAGCATTGCTCGTATATTCTAGGACCACTGAGTAAGTAATTCAGTTGTTAGGAAACGGGTACTAGGTAAGGATGGCAAATCAATTGATGAAGTAATAAAACTTCATCGGTTGAGATGGCTGGCACATCCACCGACTGCCCCGACGAACAATGTTTTATGGTGTAGGAGTAGATTGGAAGAAAGCTAGGGACGGTCAGAACAAAACATGGCACAAATCCATCAAGTCACCAACAAGTGGGCTGAGCCATTTTGGCGAGTGTAGACTACTTGGTTGGGATCCGCGAGACGATATCAAGCGATGTTTAGAGACGTTGAACGACATGGCTCAAAATCATTTGCAATGGTGCAGGTGCATCCACTCTTTGTGTTCTCGCAAATTCTCCATGTCCGTTTTTTTCGCCTTTTCAAATTTATTTCACTGGATTATACTTTTTGAATAACATTTTCAAATCCTAGTGTTTCTGATTACTACCTACACTTTTACTACCTCTATCATTACGGGATTTGAAATGACAACTGCATCTTTGTGCTAATATGGTATGGCCAACTTGATGTGATGTACCTACGTACGAAGTTCTACATTGTTGCTAAGTGATTGACTCTTTAAGAAATAAGTGATTACAGTTTATACTTGAATAATTAATAAGTTAAGAATAATATATGTAAATGACTTCAATTTAGTTGATAGAATCTCAAAATAACTTATGTATAAAGCACAGTGTATTTTGAGTAAATAATCTAATCATAATGATCTTTTAGCTAACGAATAAAGTTCTAGTATGTCTAGTGAAAGACAGGTATTACCAATGACTTTGTAATGTTCTATCATGGATTGACTGAATTAGTACACTTTAGACCTTAACAAAATCTAGAATACGGAAATGGGAACACAATCATTACATTGAATGTTAGTTAAAGAGGAGAGATTATAATTTATGGGTGAACCAATCAGGTATACGATAACAGGTCTCGGATGTTGGCGCAAAATTCATTCATTCATTTGGATGAATAAAGTTTTGGCATTATAAATGATGTTAGTTCGTAATAAAAACCCTAAATCTAATTCCTAACCCTAACTATCAACTGTAAATCATAATTTGAATTCGTCACACATGTTTATAACCCTCATTTGATCCTGGTTATTAGATGGGCACTTTTAAGGTCAGTTTAGCGTCGCTCAAAAGTTGTCCATAAATTATAGTCACACCGTTAAAGTAGAAATAAAAGTTATTTCTTGGGTTAGAAGTGACCTTGGAGTTTCTAAAAGCATCCAGAAAGTGTGTTGAATTTAATAGTGTTAATTGAATAAGGGAAACATTTATACAAACACTGATTGGCCGGAAGTAGATATAAGTATTTTAGGGAATTTTTCAAGAAACTATATATGTCTTTCAACAGTAAGACAAATTTACATTTGGTTTGGAATCAGGGTTTTTCAACTCCTATAGATGGATCCTCCGTACCCACCAAACCAATTAAAGCGCCGGACATTCAATTTGCGTCCCCTCAATTTCGTAAGAAACAACCCCGCTGTGAAAAGGCAGTGAATAGGACTTCTCTGGAAGTGGTTGTATGCATTTTGAATGGGAAAGCTAACTCTCCCCATTCTCGACCGTACCAGGGCATTTGAGTGATAATGTAAGAAAATAGTAAGCTAAACTTTTAAATCAGCCTTATCTGTATTGAACACATTCACCAACTTGTTAAATCCAGTCATTATTTGAATAATCCTGTTACTGATAGTTTTGATTACCTTGATAAGATGGTTTATTACAAGTTTTTACGGAATAAATGGATTTATGACTAGCAATAGACGTTATAAACTAACAGTACTGGTTTCGAGTTCAGCTATACACCAAGGAATTTGAATATAAGTACATCCAGCTAATAAGTCTCAGATAGTATAAAACACGTTTCCTGGATTCTATTGCTAGCCACAATGATTATTACAATTTATAATACAAGACGACTAATGTTACACGATGTCAACTCCAGGGTTCTTATTCAATAACTAAAGATATCCATTTACTACATATCAACAATATCAAATCCGTATCGGGCAGAGACAGTTATCTACCTCAGTAAAATAGTCACGCAATTTTGTGGATTGGTTGAAGTTTGACATTAACACTATTGGATCCCGGCCAGTTCAGTGATCGTTTACATACGAGATTAATAGGCCCTGGGTTTGAATCCCGTGAGTGGTATCGTAGATAGGCCCTGCCAATGAGAAGTCCTACAATATGACGAAACGGGCTTCCAATGCTTCCAGGATTTCAATGACAGTCTAACATCAATCAGTTCATGATCTTAATCAAAAATATGAAAACCTTCAATTGATTTACAGTTTAAGTTGATTCAACTATTTGTATCCTTTAGTAAATTCAATTTTAAATATAAATAACTATTTAAGTAATTAAATAAATTCTTCTATATATTTGAATCCTTTTCTATAGAATCTGTCATTCATTTAAACGATAATTCAAAAGATCAAAATTACTCATTGAAATATTCAAATAAATATGATAAGTAAGTTTATATTATAAAAACAAATTGAATCATCATTTGATCTTGTTGTTTTACTTGTATCTTCTTATTGTTGTGTTAGGATTACAATTGATCAATCTCATGTTGATATATGTGGATTAACATGAGATAGTCTTAAATCACAAGCTTTCTATTAAGCAAAGATGGATAATAGTTGGTAGTGGAATCCAGTTTGACGCACATTTCGTCCTATTTAAGACTCATCAACTGGATTTACTTGAATCTGAGCTTTGATGTTCCCTTTGGGGAGGGGGACTGGAACCTAGTATCGTTCGCTGCAAATACCGTCGCATTATCCACAATATGAAAATACAAGTAGAACAGTGCCAAGTTAATTTAAGATTTCACCCTATTACACAAGCAGATGGTTATCAGGACTCAGTAGCTAAGTAAATAATGCGATGGCGTTTGAAACGAACGGGACTGGGTTTGAGTCTCGGAGTGAACATCAAATCTAGGCTATAGGTGCATCCAGCTTATGAGTCCCAAATAGGACGAAACGCACGTCCTGGATTCCACTGATAGTTACTATCAATCTTTACTTAAATTAGTTAGATATTATTTTATTTGTACAAATAACTATTCGACGAACGAATGGTTAGATTCCAATAACCTTTTCTTGTTTTGTTCAGACTTCTCAAGTATTTGCCGAATTGAAAAAAAAAACAAAGACATATAGTGTTATAAAATGAGATATATGTTAAGTTTATTGGGGGATTAAATGATTAGTTATTAAGGTGAGGGAAATTCTAGTTTCTGATTAGATTTCGTGCTGATTAACACTCATCAGCGAGGTATAGAATTAATCCTAAGGGAGTTGATGATCATGGAACATAGAATACAACAAACATCAATGATACAGCATGACTTTTACAGAACATTGTTGTTGAATATGATATCAATGATCTAGAGGTGAAAATTTTGTTCTTAAGGCTGATCATGGGTTGGATTCCCGGTTTCGGAGTTGTAAACGTGCACTGCACTGACGAAACGATCTTCAATGCTCCCAGATTTTTAATGGCTCTCTAACTTTGAATCCGTTCATAATATCGATAAAATATTGCAATATTCTTCTAATTGACATTCATTCATGATAAGGGTTATACACCTAATCCCCATAAATCATCCAGTGTAACGATTCGCCTCTTACACAGATATTCCGACAATTTTATATGAAAAATAACAGAACCTAATAAGTATGAGGATATAAATTTGTTAAGCGAATATGTCATTATAGATCTTAGTAGAACTAAAATGAAACTCATTTAGTTTTTAATAAGGAACTAAAAATAACTATCAACCAATATCAAAGTCAGAATGTTCAATATGAACGTCAAGATAGTTCTACTGTATAAAGCAGAAACTTGGAGAACTACTACAACCATCATCAAAAAGGTACAAGTAAATATAAATAGCTGTCTACGCAAGATACTCAACATCCATTGGCCGGATACCATCAGCAACAGCCTTTTGTGGGAGAAAACAAAGCAGCTTCCAGCTGAAGAGGAAATCAAGAAAAGATAATGGAAATGGAATTCTGAAGTGAAACGGAAAAGAGGAAGGCTGAAGAATACATTACATCGGGAAATAGAAGTAGATAGTGAAAAGGATGAATAACAACAGGAAAGAATTGTCCAGGACAGGATTGGATGAAGAATGATGTTGGGCAGGCTATACTCCTTTACAAGCAGAGTAACAGGCGTAAGTAAGTAAGCAAGTAATTAAGTTTTCAATAGATAGTTTAAAGATATTAACAACCACATTGTATTGAACAAGAACACGGGTAGGGACAATCGAATGTATTTGACAACAAATTACAGAATTTGTTAATGAACTCTAACCATCCTATAGTAAATGTTTAATTTACAAAATGTCCAACAATCGTCTCAAAATGACTCCAACTTCCTTTGTTCTTGCATTTTCATACAAATTGCATACCGTCTTTATTCTTTACTATTCGATCCTCTTGTCTCTATGCTGTCAGATATTCTATTCATCACTAACATCATATACTACTTATATCGACATAAGTAGCACAAATCACAATATCACTTATTTTTTCTCTCCATGTTTACATTTTTATTTCACAGAATACCTACATCATCAATCAATTCTACAATAGATCAATTTAATATAAGAAAAGATTCATTATATCCTATAGATAGAAGAAATTATACTGAAACAGCAAATACTACTAATACATTACATCATTTATGGTTAGATAATGAATCGATTCAACAAGAAATCAATTCATATCCATGTTGTTCAACTTATTATTTAGGATTCTATTCAACAAATGATTATTTTACATCACAATTAACAGATACTTTACAATATGATAATACAAGATCAGATTTAATTGATTCGGATCAAACTAATGAAATACAACAGAATACTTACTTGACAAATACATCATATTTACAATATAATAATAATAATAATAATGATCAAAATAAAGAATCTATAAAATATACTAATATAGATCCTTATAAAGTTCCTGAAATTATACATGAATATGATACCATTTCATCTGGAACCTTTAGTCAAATGAATGATAATCATCATCATCCTCACCACCAACAACAACACCATCACCATCATAATGATCTATTCATTAATTCAAATGAATCATTATTAACCAATAATGAATATACATAAGTTAACTATAAAAATTCATGATTGAATGAATAGTTTGTAGATCAATCATTTCAATAGTAAATAACAAGTAAGATCTAATACAAATGAATCATTATTTAATTTAAAACATTCAGAATATCAATGTAGATAGTTAATAAATCAGTTACAATATATAGAGAATTAAACACATCTATCCATTGGTTCAATTATGTATAATTCTAACAACATTTAAAATGTCTATATAGATATTTAATAACATGATTTATTTGAATGTATCCATTGAAAGTATCAATGTAGACAGTTGGTCAGTCAGTTAGTCAGCTACAATATAGGATCAGATACACCCATGCATCAGTTCAAATATGTATGATTATCTTAATTTATTTTATTTATTATTTCACTATCTTATGTTTGTTTTTTTGTGTGGTTTTTTTCGTCTTGTACAGAAAAAAAAGACCCCCCTCCCTCGTATAGACATTCTATTGTACACAATTGAAAAGTAACTGCTAACAATTCTGTTTTTTGTTTTTTTTTTTTTGTTTTTAAGAAAGCAAACAATCAGTTGTTGATTTATAAAGTTTTTATTTAGTTTATTATGAATATTATACTAAATACAATTTATTTATTTATTTGAATACATAAATATTGGTACAAGGGGGGGGGCACCAGATATATATGCACCACACAATCATACTGAGAATGGGAAGAGAAAAAAGAAGGTAAGATGCGTATAACTTACTTACTTACGCCTGTTACTCCTCGTGAAGGAGCATAGGCCGCTCACCAGCATTCTCCATCCAACCCTGTCCTGGGCAATCCTTTCAAGCTCTTTCCAGTTCTTATTCATCATTTTCATATCTGCTTCTATTTCCCGACGTAATGTGTTCTTTGGCCTTCCTCTTTTCCGCTTCCCTTCAGGATTCCAAGTTAGCGCTTGTCTCGTAATGCAGTTTGATGATTTCCTCAATGTATGTCCTATCCATTTCCATCGTCTTTTCCTAAATTCCTCTTCAGCTGGAAGCTGGTTGGTTCTCTCCCACAAAAGGCTGTTGCTGATGGTATCCGGCCAATGGATGTTGAGTATCATGCGTAGACAGCTATTAATAAATACCTGTACCTTCTTGATGGTGGTTGTTGTAGTTCTCCAAGTTTCAGCTCCGTACAGTAGAACTGCCTTGACGTTCGTATTGAAGATTCTGACTTTGATATTGGTTGAAAGTTGTTTTGAGTTCCATATGTTCTTCAGTTGAAGGAATGCCGCTCTAGCTTTGCCAATCCTCGCCTTGACGTCTGCATCTGAACCTCCTTGTTTATCGACGATGCTTCCCAGGTATGTGAAGGATTCCACGTCTTCCAGAGTTTCGCCATCAAGAGTGATTGGATTGCTGTTCTCCGTGTAAGGAGGGAAAAAAATAGAACAATAACGACCATAGATTAGTGTATGGTGGTGTAATGTTAATAATATTAAGAATAATAGTGAGGGGGTAACGGAAAGGTACAACCAGAAAGAATTCTTTCAGTTAAGGAAGTTACCATCACATTTTATGAAGAAAGTAAAAAAAATTTACAACAGGATCGTCACTGGCTTCTATTCTGAGCTATATCTGATAACGTCTCTAGCCACTGTGTTGCACCATCTCTCAGACATCAGCCAGGGAGTCGAGAAGGACCAACAGAAACCAGCCTTTTGCAGCTTTCTTTCATACTACGACATCATGTCATACACTGACCACCTATCCACGTTTTCCAACCAGTCCCAGCGTCGGCAAATAATGCACGACGTGGGATTCTCTGGGACGACATTCGTAGAACATGTCCAAGTCACCGAAGTCGACGTTTTAAGATGGTGACACCAATTGAATTATCATCACTGAGCCCGGATCTCTGCATTACTAACATGATTTTGCCACTGAATGTTAGCAATCCTTCGGAGACAACGATGATCAAACACAGAAAGTATACTAAATGCAATCGTCTATTAATTCATTTCTTTATTTATGAATACATATTTAGACCTAATTGTTCTTCTTCATGACCATCTATGACTTCATGTTAGTTGATTTTCAATTATTGTTCAATCAATAATCTTATGGTTTAAATGAAACCTAAGAAATATTAGTGAGGAACTGAGAGGTATTTAAGGTTCAGAATATGTTGGATATGAGACAGATATTAGGTAGTTGAGAGGCATTAACAAACGGAAAAATGAATGAACTATTACGTTAAATAGCTGTGTAAACATTTTTTGCATAGTTGGGTCGTAAATATGTATAAAAGGGTCTAACTCAACAGTTTAAAGGTATTATATTCATCACAAGACTTGATAGTTTTATGGTTGGTGTAGGGTTGTAGATATTTATAAGGTTTCAAGATGATATTTCATTGTTTTCAAATAGTTAATTGCCTGAAGATCTTGAATTGAATGTTGAGTGGTCAAAAAAAGAATGAATTCTGAACATAACATCATCTTCTACAAGTCAGATAAATCCAGGTCATGAACGTTGTGGACAACTACAGGATTCATGTATCGATATTTGCTACGTACATAAGCGATCGTAGTAATTCGAAGAACTAACATTCCTTAATTTTCATTGAAAATATCTTGATTAGTTTATTAAAACAAGTATCTAAAAGTAAATACATTAGTTAAGATGATAAAATTGAGGTTAATTACCACTCTGTAGTGTGATAAGCTTGAAGGCCATTCATAACTCACTTATGATATGAACTAATAACCTCAATAAATTATGAATTTCAAGCACAACATAAATCTTAAAAATCATTCAAAACCTAGTAAATATCAAATGTTACTTCATTTATGTGAAGCCTAACCTAAACTCCATATGAAATAAAAATTGGAATCACTAAACGTCTTATAGAAATTATAAACAAACTACATAAATTCTAAATGGAATTATCATGTCAAATCATGATATTATTGATGCTCTAAGCTTCTTTTTAAAGCTGCTAATCCCTCCTAGTTCTTCTGGTTTTGAAAGATTATCTAAAGGTGATAGCTAAGAGTCTAATAGATACTTCTTGAAATCTATGAACTTAAAAGATTCCGGTAGCGTTGTCGATGGATTAATGACATATTGTTCTCTCAAATTGAGTGCGCATATTAAAATTTATTTATTTGAACGCACAGATATTGGTACAAAGGGGCACTGAATACATATGCATCACACAAGCCACTTGATTTGTGTGTGTGTGGGCTGTGATACTGCCCGCGTGCTCAGACCAAAGCAGGTGGTTTTCTTAGGGTTTCACACCCGGAGCCCTTGACCTAAAGGTCTAATCCACAAGGCAGTGGAGCAGCGTCAGGAGATGCAGTCCAATGGTAGCCGGTCACCAATAATTGGTTCATAAGCCTTTTGTTGTTTCTGATTCCTGGAGCCCATGTACACCATTGGTTTGGAATCAGGGTTTTCCAACTCCCCTAGTTGGAGTCTCCGTGTCCACCAACCCGATCAAAGCGTCGGACATTCGCTTTTCGTCCTCTCAATCTCATAAACAACACCCCTTACACAAGAAAGCAGTGAGTAAGACTTCTCTGGCAATGGTTGTATGCACGTGGTCATGTGAAAGCATTTGGATAGGTAGAACTAACCCTCCCCACTCCCGGCCGTACTACGGCATTCTTCCAAGTCAACCGATGTAGGCTCCAATCTTGCAACATTGATTTTCTGTAATTCGTGTTTAATGCCTCTTAACCTAACTAAAAACACTTGATTTAGGCTAACTAGTTATTTACTTTAGTTTCCAACTAATTGGATGAAATAGTTAGTCTCAATTAAAATATTTGTAGCCTGCCTGAAGAGGAAATTAGGAAAAGACGATAGAAATGGATAGGACACACATTGAGGAAATCACCAAACTGCATTACGAGGCAAGCGCTAACTTGGAATCCTGAAGGAAAGCGGAAAAGAGGAAGGCCAAAGAACACATTACGTCGGGAAATAGAAGCGGATATGAAAATGATGAATAAAAACTGGAAAGAGCTGGAAAGGATTGCCCAGGACAGGGTTGGATGGAGAATGCTGGTGAGCGGTTAATGCTCCTTCACGAGGAGTAACAGGCGTAAGTAAGTAACGGTAACGAATCAGGCTCAGTGAATCATCTCAATTTGTAACACTTGATAACAACCTCAAAAGATTAAATTAACAGAACAAAAATAGTGAGAAGAGGATAAATATTTAATATGTTTTTAATAATGACATAGAAATCATTCCATTGAAAGGAAAATGTGTCTTACAACGTAACCCTAAAGGTAAGGAATTTTACACTTCTTGCTACGAGTAACGGATGAGTGAAATTTAGTACCTCTGTTTTCATTGATTTACTTGGCTATGTTTTCAGCATAAATAAATGTCATTAACGGAAATATTTGTCAAATGGATCACATATATAAGGCATACCTTACTGAAAACTAGCATGATTATCTGTAGAACTTTTATTATTGACGTAGAGGTCGACGACAGGAAACCTTTACCTGAACAAGGATAAGGCCTTCCTGACTGACGAGCGCTTTTGAAAAGAAACTAGATCAAGTCAACAGATAAAATAGACACTAAGATGAGAGAGCCTGTACTACATGGAAGCACAGTTTGTTCTTGTCTTTTGGATTTGTCTGGTGTATCGTTTGAGTTCCTCTGATATACTTAAGGGAGAGGACATTTTATTTCTGAAATCATGTCATCCCATACATAACAATCAGGTCATGAAAAATGATTAAGATAGTCTTAAGAACAAAGTACCGCGTAAAAGTTGAACAGTAGGCAGTCAAGTTGCGAGCTCGAAATTGTTCTACTAATTCAGAATTATGTTCTGAAGACAACAGAATATTTTGAGTGTAAAGCATACCGCAACCTTTTTCAAAAGTGATATACAGCAAGGTATGATCTGAAGTCCCCTACTATTTCCACTCTATATCAATGAGCAACAAACTATTTTAATGGTTAGCACCTCTACCTGCAAATGACGTAGAAGTTCGAAAAATAATAAGCAGTGACCCTGATAAA